CATGAAACTCTGTTTGAAGCTGTCGAGATCTGTTCAACGGTGTGTCATATATGTGCAAAAAGACCGATTTCGATATATCGCATTGGATAAACTCCTTAGAAGAGTAGTCGTAACTCTGCGTCTCGTTTATCTCAGCTTCCTGAGGTGTGGTAGTCGGGAAATTTTTACCACAGACTCAGTGAATGATGGGCAACAAAATGCACTTTTTAGATTTTCAACAGGATCACTTTCATTTTCTTTTATCAATTGTACAAAAAAGTTGCAATTGACTCATATATATTTTTGATTCAGTTCTTTCTTTACAAATATCTCAAATAGACTTTTCTGTTTGGTATAATGCATTTTCACCGTCAAATTTGTAGATTCTGTCACCACTTATAAGATCAACGATATTGTTGAATAACAACCTATAACTAACTGTGTCTAAGAGTTATTTGGTAGCACAAAAGCAGAGTTATATACCAAATACTTAGTTGAGAACAAAATATTAGATTTATAATTCAGAGCCTTCGAGTTATCAGCGAGCTGCGCTACATTTTTTTCGCGGCTGAGAAAGGTCTAAACAAATCTGTTTGGCTTATATTCTAATCTGTATAAGAAAATTTATTAAAAATACTAAAAATTTGTAAAAAAATCAGATGTTGCAATCTGAAACACAACACATAGAAAAACAGAAATGTGCTTGTCAAAATAAAAGTATGACTGTCTAGCAAAGCGTTGTTTCACTTGTTTTTGATTTAATGCTTGATGCTGATGCTTGTCGTTTCAATAAAGTCTTTTTTCGGCGTTGACTGCTACTTTTAACTACAAACTGCGTATTTTCACTATCTGATGATTGTTTTCGTTGATCGATTAATAAATCAATGTAATCATCACTATCAACGGGTACCATTGAAAATCGAGCATTTCGTTCTGGTTTCTTTATAAAATCTAAGTCATCATATTCGACATACGACGGTCGCGATCTTATCTGTGAAAGTTCATTACGATTAATTGGTATCAGATCACCGGATAGTGTACGACGAGAACGTAGTTGTTGTTCTTCATGTTCCTGATGTTGTAGTTGTGGTTGTTCATCTAACAACGCTTGTGCTGTAGCTATTTCTGGTCGTAGTGCCTTATGTTCTTCGTCTTCGATTAGAGGCAGAGGTGAGCGTGATAAACTTAATTGCAATTCATTTGTATTTTGTGTAGAATCTAATTGAATTGTCTTTGGTAGTGATAAGTCTAAATCTCGTTCCCAGGCGAGTGTTTCTAGCATTGTATCAAAATGTGGTTTTGGTTTTAAAACAACAGATTGATGAGATACACGTCGCAGACGAACAGAATGAGCAGTGGCCGCTTGTTCTTTCAACAGATACAATACCAATTTACCCATGCGCTAGAAAATATATCGAAATAAATTACTTCAGACACAAACGAATAACTCTTTTTCTTACCTTCCAACTTCCAATGGCACCTTTTCGCTGTGCTGCTTTTGTTTTTGGCACAGCTTTGATTACCATTAAGTCTCGCCGTTCCGGTAAACCAACACAATACACCGATTGATATCTTAATCGTTGTCCTGCTGAACATGAACGTTCAATAGTGAGTACCAATTGGGCCCACTAATTATGGGAAAAACAAACTTCTAAAATCATCAGATCAATGACAACAAGTTAACAATATACCTGTCGTTGTCGTTCTTTTTCTGATATGGCAATAACACGTTGATACGTATTACCCATCGATGCGATTAACATGTTTAACAGCAGAATTGGTGTTAATACCATGAAGACGATAAATAATGATTTGACCAAATAGGCATAATGTGTAACGTCAAATTTTGAAAACTGTTGTAAGAAAAATCGGTAAATACTTTTTAAAAAATAACCAATTAATTAAGGAAAATTTCTTACATCAAATTCGCCCATTGTAAAATGAACCATTGTCATCCATGCTTCAAAATTTTTATATGAACATGTATGATCATTTCCACATGTACTATTGGGCACAGTTCGTTCACAACTAATACCTTCGGTTGTGTCACGAAACAATAAAAAAAATACTAAAAAAATGAAAAAAAATGACTACTAAAATTAGTGTAAATAATATTTATTACCATGCCCAAATGCAGTGATAACAATCAAATAGATAACGCCCTACAGAAGAAAAACATAAAGTTTAATAATTAAGTAACCGAATGTTTTATTCTATTTACAAATGTTGCTATATCACCAGCTATCATTTCAAATATCATAACAATAAACGCACCAGTTAACACATAAATACTAAACAGAAAATAAACAATATAGGCAGCATAATCAATTGCTTTGGTTCATCTACTTTAATGATATAGTTTGAAAAATATCCGTGAATTAACGATAGATATTTATTCTGAATATTTTCTCATGTCAATAAGATGTGCAGATCGTACACACACTCTCTCTCTCTCTCTCTATGATACAACACACTTTCAAAAACACACAGACTATTTTTTTTCCCAATATGCCTAATCTACAATATCCTACCGGCCAAAAAATAGACAAAATAGATATGTTCCTGGAATAGCCAATGACAATAGACCATCTTCAATATATGCATAGAATACATCTTTTGTTTTTAAATATAAAATTCTAAACGGTATGACCGATATAAGTAGTACACATGAACATTGATAAACAGCCTTTTCTGGAAAACTCCTCTTAAAGAATAATATGAAAACAATTAATTTTAATAATTTAAGAGAAAAAAAACATACCAAATTTTGTACATAATAAATAAAACCTTGAGAATATATTTCTTTTGCTTGCAATGCAAATATACTCAAAACACATCCACATAGAACACAAACTTCTGATATATGACAAATCTAAAATTAACGCATAGTAAATTAACGCTTAAATTAAAAGTCAAATTAGAACTTACAATTTTTTTAGTCGTCAGTTTATTAGTTTTATCATCACGACTCCGTAAAAATACGGCTGTACTTAAAAAACAGATGTGAATAACCAGTAAAACAAGTTGACGCATAAAATTAGCCTAAACTTCACAGATTAAATGAGGCTAGAATTAAAGAGAGTAGCTGAATTGTTACTCTAGCAAATGTTGACCATTTATCATTGAGAAGACGATCAATAACCATATTATCTAACATTTCAAGATGTTCTTCAGTTTTTCCATTAACAATGTAGGTGAGTGAAGAATTCCAATCTTGAACAATTAGCAGTATAAATATTTTTCTTTAAATACAAAATACATAGATACTAACCTATTTTACCACCGTCTGTAATAGTATCAAGTCCCTCAAGTGGATAAGTAGAACATTTAATGTTACTATATCGCCAAATTTCCTAAAATAGAGGAAAATTGCATGTGTTAATCCAAAGGAAATGAAATACATACGACATTTGAAATTTCTAAACACTCAAGAAATAAATCTTTTCGTCCTAATTTTGCTGCCAATGTTAATGGTGTTAAATTAGAATTATTTCGTATATCGGTCAATGATTTTTTCATTGGATGTCGAACAGCATGTTTAAACATATCCTACAAGAAATAAGAGTTCTAGATTAAAAAATCAAAATATTTTTTCTTAATATATCTACCACTCTATTATTTATAACAAGCATGTGTAACACCGTATTTCCATACGTATCTTGTAGATTTGGATCTGCACTATGTTCAATTAGATAATCGTAAATTTCTGAATGACCAAATGAGGCAGCAAATGCCAATGGATATTCACCAAAATAGGCATAACCTATTTTTAATTTAATATAATAAAAATTAGTAGACTGTAAAAAAAATTTTCAAATATTATTATGATATTTACCTTCGTAATTACTTTCATCTGGATTATACTGTTTACGTAATTTTGTTTTCTTTTTACTATTTTCAGGTCCATAAAATTTTCCAATGGCTCGTTTATTAACATCTACACCGTGTTTAACCAATAATTTAACCGACTCAATATCATTATAAACAATGGCAATATGTAAAGGAGTTTCTCCTAAAATTAAAATATGTTATCCTATAACAAATTTTCAATAATCAAAATAATAAATTAAATTTACCTATCACCGATAATGATATTTGTTGTTGTGGTTGTCCAGGTATATTTTTTAATATATTTTTATTATTATCATGTCTTTGATCTAATTCTAATGTTTTTATTTGTTTTTCTGGATCATCACTATTTAATCCCACTGGTTTACCATAGACATCGACCAATGATGTTTGAGGAATTTTAATAGCTTTCATTCAAGAGAACTAGCTCACCTTTTTTTTAAACCTTGACAATTTGAAACACATTTATCGATCTTCTTCGATATTTAAAATCATTTTTATCAATTACCATAGAATGTTTAATGAAAATAGAAAAAAAAATAAAAAAATAAAATAAAATAAAATAAAATAAAAATTAATAATAACTTGAAAACGATCTAGTGCATTTTTAAATATATCTTAAGAATTAGAAGGAAAAGTAATCATCTCGTCTACAGAAAGAGAAAAATGTTTCGTCTCTAATAATAACATAGATTTATCATAAGAGGAAAATGTATACATAATTGAAAGAACAAGAAAAATATTAACACTATATTATATATATATATATATTTGAGATGAGAAAAATATTTTCTCAAAACTAAGAAATTTTTTTATATACAAAATTCAATTATAGTTTTCTATTTCTAATATATAGGAAATAAGAGGAAAGAAAGAAATCCGTAAATGTTCCATTTCAAAAAAAAAAATAGAGCTAGAAATCGACAGTAACTAAATATATATACTTGTTTTTTTCCAAATAACTACTACTTCTTTTATTTCTTCGAAAAATATGCGAGAGAGTTAGTGCATAGGTAAAAGAAAACTTATCAGACACTTGTTCTAATCACTAAATTTATATTTATTATATCAAAAGAGAAATAGAAAATACAAATAATAGAAAAACTGAATGAATTATTGTCTATACTTAAAGATAAGTTAGTTTCGAGTGAAATTAAGGAAAAAGGAGAACTAGAGAAAAAAACAACAATACTAAAGGTAGAAATAGAATATAAATCGAACACAATATTGAGAAAATTGTATCGACTGTTGCTCAAATAGTTCAGTTAACTTTTTTTCTTCTTCTTCTTTATATTATTTTTATTTATATCGTAGAACTTCTGCTCATTGAGAAAATCTTAAAGACTTTATAGCACGCTTAAGCATGTATCAGAGTCGGTGTTCCTGCCGAAAAACTAGCACTAGTACACTGGCTCTGGTCTGTTTTTTAATAATGCAGTTTTTGTTTCGTGTACAGTGTAGAGATATACTCTCGCATAGTACCTTAAGCTTGTATTTTTGAGTAGATGTTCCCTCAACTATCTAAAATTGCTAGTTTTCTATAGGTAGAAACGAGAATCTTCATTATCTGTAGAAAAGGATTCTTCAGACATCAGCATCATAGCTAGTATTTCGCTGTGCTCTTTCTTTTCCTAAAAGATGTCGTTTTATTATAGTCCGTTAGTATATATTAGAAATAGTGTGAACAGTATAACAGTGTGAAACCAGTACCAGTTGGACAAGTATCACTAGTGCCGATGTAACCGATGTATCAGCGTAGACTAGTACAGTGTGAACCAGTGCCGATGTGAACAGTATCCAGTATACTGGCACTGGTGCATATCTAAGAACGCTATAACGTACTCATACTCATGTTGTGAAAATCATGAAAACGTGCGCTGCTGCACTTGTTTATGTTACATTTTGACCAATTATCGCGTACAAACGCATGCAAAGAGAACCTTCATCTTAAAAGCTATGGTAATTATTGATTTGGTTAAAAATTTTGTGTGAACACCACGAAGCAGGTTTGAGCTCAATAGTTACTAAGATATTCCATGTTCACTTTTTTATCACTAAAATGAAAACAATTTCTGAATCAAGCAAGAAAAACACGTTTTTTGTGCAAAAAAATGTCTCGATAATTATCGGTTACAATCTGTCTTCTCTATAGTGTGATAGAGCCACTGGGAATTATAATCATACAAAAATATATATTGCAATTGTATTCATCCATATTCAGCAGGTTATGTATTTTCAATGTGACTGTGCACTATAAATGTCTTCTTTCTTAGAATAAAATGATGGCTAGTGTAGATTGAAATATCATTCGAGTATTCTAAAGATTGAGCAATGTTAGGAACGGATCAACTCCCACAGTGCTTGCTAACATAATTTACTATAAATTTTAGGCCCAATCAGAAAAATTTTCATCGGACGAGAGCATGTATTGCAAAAAATACAGAACTTTTAGTCGGCTGATATAAGAAACTATAGGTAGTAAGTAAAAATAGTCTGACAAGTCCGTTTGTGCTGAAATCTTTAGAATATACGTATTTTTTAGTCATCTGCAAGCTTACTACACGTTCAACTGTTCGATTTCAAGCTTAGGCATTTGAATTTCTTAACATCTAATGTAGTACTACTTCCTAATTGCAGCCAAAATTTAAGCCAGTTAGTAAAAAAATAGTTGCAAATTCGAAAGACTAAAGTTATATTGGTCTCATTTTTATTGTGCTTTCAAAAGCGACATTTTTAGTTAATGAATTTTAGTTGAGTTTACCATTAGTGCCCATAGATGAGATTAATCATTGTATGGAACTAATTAGTGATGAATTATGTAATATTGATTCAAATATATAGATTAACAGATTATATTTTAAATAATTATATGCTCGTTTTTTGTTTGATATATGGAATCATATTAACTCAACCGATGAACAATTGTACATAAATTATCATTTAGGCTATCAAAGACAACTAAATGTGCGTGTGAGAACGAATCTGGATCTCTGGACATGGATTAATGAAATTCGCTTATGTGAAGAATCTGTTATGAGTCGTTATGAACAAGAACAAGCTCAAAAACTTACGAGACGACCAAGAAAAATAAAAATACACGTGATAATAGGTACGTATATCTCACCTTTGTCCATAAACTATTGTTTTATATATCTGTAATCCGAACTAGGACCAATGATTACCCATTAATTAAAAGGTGGTCGGTTTTTGCAAATGCAATAAAAATGAGACCAATATAACTTTAGTCTTTCCAATTTGGGACTATCTTTTTACTAAAAATTGACTAAAATTTTGATCACGATTAATGAAGTTCAACATTTTTATCCTCCTACTCATACAAGATTCTTCTCTACTTATATAACTGTAGCTATTTTTATACTGGACTATGTATATTAAGCTTAATAAAGCTTTGTGTTGTATACTTGTAATCTTTTCCTTTTTTCTAAACATTTAAGCATAGTTTTAATAACAACGTATTTCCTACTAAGACTATCTTAATCACAAATCTAATTTTGTTTCCAGTGCCATACATAATAATTTTCATAATAGCAACGTCATTTTATTGTCCAACAATTCAGTTTAATTCGATTTCTCTTCCATTGTAACAAAAACAATATGCTTAGTCCCATTATGAAAAAACATTTGCGAGAAAAATGTGTTTTGATCACCAAATTAATTACTAAACAGACAACAAAAAGAATATAAAGAAAATACGTACATTAAGAAATATGAACAGAACAGAAAAAACGCTTAGCCATTTTATTCAACATGTATCAAGTTACGCACAAAGCTCGCCATGAACCACTGGGCGAAGCTGAGCGAAAAAAGTTCGTACAGTCTTGTTACCATAAAGTTAACTTTTTTCTGTTCTGTTCATATTTCTTGTTATATACATTTTCCTTGTATTCTTTTTGTTGTCTGTCTTCTAATTAATTTGGTAATAAAAAATATTGATACCCAAAGATAATTCCAACAGCTTTTCTTACTGAGCAGCTTAATCACTATATGTTTCTTTGTTACAGTGTTATCTCATCTGAAATATTCCTTATCGTTCTCAATTGACCGTAACGAAACCACATAGAATCCAAACGATCATCGGAAAATTACTGGAATCAATAGTCTACCACCATATGGCTATATGATGCTCGATAGCACTGTCAGTAATCAATGCTGTATCATGTATTACTTTCTTTTTCTCATAAACTAGTAGTTCGGTCTTACTACTTTGAAGATTCATATGCCCTATCCTAGTTATTTTTGAGAGCTAAAACGAAAGAAGGTACGAATAATACTTTTTAAACATTATCCATATTAAGATAGAAACAGTTGCTCTCTAAAAGTAGTTTGTAATTTAATTTAAAATCTTGTCGTTCAAATCAAACATTCTTAAAATACTTCTTATCAACAATGGCAGTCCAGTACGAAAGCTCTAGTTACCTGTGAATATAACTGTCAATGTTTGACAAAACATGCCATTCTATTTTGATTTTTAAAAATTCAAATTTTTATGTATTTTTGACATGGTTGATATGCATGTCGAACATTTACTGTCTACGTCAGCGATAAATGAAAATGATTGTTCAATCATTCTTTACACAGATTTTTCATTACTCTCTAATGTATGTGCTCAACCCATTGAACTGTATAATAATAAGGAAAAAGAAATAGTGAATAAAAAATGTCATTTATGAAGAAAGGAACAAGAAAATTGAGAAATTAAAATAGTAACTGCCGGCATTGAATTAATAAATTAGAATCAGTAAAAATGCTATATAACATATGACAGACAGAAGAATAGCTAAGTTATTTAGTCAATTTATAAGAGAAAATAAACATAAAAGAGCATAGTTGTCCTTTAGAATCTATGGCCGAATAATGAAAACTCTAAAACACCGAAAGTGAACATGCAGAATGCATAAGATTGAAAATAAGAACGGCAAAAACCTGAAATGTCGAACGGTAAAAACAATCGAAATATGACTTTAGAAGTGGACTTGTATCTTTAGAATATTTCTTGCTCATAATTCTCCCGATAGATCTGCAAATCGTTTATGTACACGGTCATTTTGTTTCCATGTGAAATCTTTTACCGTTCGTCGTCATTAACAAGTATAAACCATAGTCCACGCAGCTCGACAGATTTATTTATCAACTACGATTAATTCTTAGCACTTCGTCCTTCATTTTCTGATATCCAATCACACTCATCGATATTTTGCCTTTTTGTCATTTTTGTTTTCTACATTTCAGGTTTTTGCCATTCTTATGTTCGATCTTATGCATTCTGCATTTTCACTTTCAGTGTTTTGAGTTTTCGACCAAAGACATACATACCGCCCTTTAAATCTGTGATAATCAGCATGATCGAATATATATAATACACTATACTTTATGGTTCATGAGAGTCTTTACAACTAGAGGAAGTTCTCTCTTCTTTTTTCACAGATGTAAAGATCTGACGAAATTCAAATTTTTACACTAGCTTGCCGTTGTTTTAAACCCTGACAATTTGAAACATATTTATCAATCTTCTTCGATATTTAAAATTATTTTTACAAATATTTTAACAAAACTAAAAAAGCTGAGTTTTTCAGTCTTTGATGTAAAAAAATTGTGAAACGCAGGAAGTGATCTTACTTTGCAGTTCAGACTTTTCTCTACAACAATTCGTACCACCGTTAAATAACTGAAAATCTCTAAAAATGAAGATCGTTTGAACGACTATTGGGCATAAACGCGTTAAACAACTCAAACTCAAAAAATTTATCAAAAATACGGGATTAGCCATTAGATATAAATATTGTGTTAATTATCAAATAACCGATGTATTCGCCTATTAATGAGCTGTTGAAAAAATATATCTTTAACAATGACAAACAAGATCAGATCGTAAATAGAACACTTAGATTATCTTTTAGCTTGAGGTATGTTTTATATAATTAAGATATGTCGATAAATATTGTATTTAATAAACATCAATATAAGCTATACACTGCGCGGACATATTCACCGATACGAAAAAAGCGTGTGTTTATTTTCTAACCAAATAAATCAGCCATTTCCTGTATTTGAATATTATGTGTTGGACTATCAATTAACAATAATTTACTAGCACCTTGTTCTTTTAAATGCGGGTGTAAACTGTAAATATGTTCAATAATCAAAGGATCTAAAGCACAATCATAATAAAGAGTTTTTAAATTTGGACATCGTTCAGCTAAATATAATATTGCTTCGTTAATCACTTCAGAAGGAGTCAATACCCATTGAGCTGTTGTTTGAATATAGACATTTTCCAATGTTTCATGATAATTATTGGCCGCTATTATGAGTTCGTTATATACACGAACAGGAGTGTTCAATATCAATGTTTGAACCTATGTGATAAAAAAGAATATCTTCATGTTACCAGAGACCTTCGACATATCTAAGACAGCTAATCATTTTAAAAACTGTTTAAAACACTTCAGAGCTTTGCACGTTAATAAACCTGGAAGTACAGTGAATTTAAGAAAAAAGATACATCAGATCTATTTTGAAATTTTTAATAAAAACAAACATTTATACAAGACTTACCGTGATCGATAATCTATGTTACAGCTGTTTTTGAGATTTCTACAGGTCAGCTCATTTCAATTCTGGGTACTAGAAACATGTCTGGATCATGAGTGATAAAGAGAGTTAAAATAAATCCTATTTTTTTTAGAGGACACTTTGATCTATCTTTCTCATATAACAAAAAGTGATATACTCTATTTTGAAATTGATCATCTATTCTAGAAACAATTTTGATCGATATCAACTTACTGGCAGTTGTATTTCTGGTTTCATGTACGCAGCTATTCTGTTCAATGGTGTTGTTATATCAAAATTTAATGTCAGACGTAATTTTGAGTGTTTCTCTCTCAATTGTCTCCATAATTGTGGATTAATTTCATCCGAATATTTTTCTTCTCGTCGTATTCTTAGTCCAAGATGTTTCAAATCGTCTTGTTTCAATAACAATTGTAATACATCATCTGTCACTGCTATCATGTCAACCCAAAGATCATTTAGGTATTTTAAATTCTCAATTATTTGCATTAATCCATACGCTGTTATGCAACAAACAAGTGATTGGTCTTGTAAATTTAATGATAATAAATTTTGATTATATTTTGATAATGTAATACAAGAATCATCGTCCAATGAGAACATGACGCCACTGAGATCACAAACAAGTAAACTTTGACTTTGATGATGAAAAAATGCTCGCAGACTGTTGGTTATGTCAGAACATTTCATAAACATTGGATTGAAACCAATAAAACTTAAACTAAATGTTCGTATTTGACGTTTATTGTGAGAAAATAAATTCAATAGTTTGCATAAAACATATCTTGTTGTTTGATCTTGTTGTTCAATGTGAATGTGTAAATGTCTAATGTCATATTGAAATTGTTTCATGTACTTGTAGATAAAACCATAATAGACTAGATAATTTGTATTTACATTTTCTTCATTTTCATTTGTCTCAGAAATATTACGATTCTGAGGTAAATCATGAATGACAGTCAAAGAATGTGATAAAACTCGTCCAACGCGACGTTGAATTGCTAACGTTTCATTTGACAATGATGATGATAAATGAGAAAATAAACGAATTATACATGTGTAGGATAGACGGTAAGATTCTTGAACGATTTGGTACCACAGTTTGCATACTTGAACAAGTACGCAACGTTCATCAATAGTCAAGTGAGAAAATATTTGAACGAGTACAATTTCGGGTAAGCTATTGATAACACAGAAATTCTCATCAATGGCCGTAGTCATTATTTATCAGGCTATGTACAAAACATGCGCAGATATAAGAAGAAATACTAGATTATCTGGAACACATAATGATTCTACTATATTGCGTATTATCAAAAAATATAACATTCTTTTTCTCTGTCTGTGTGTTAACAGATAAGGCAACACTTACGTCATCATCGATAGCATTGAACAGGAAACAACTTTTTCATCCAATCAAATTTACCTAGTAAGAACGAACTACTAGTTTATAAGAAAAAGAAAGCAATACATTTATTGAATCATACAGCATTGATTACTGACAGTGTTATCGAGCACCATATCGTCATACGGTGGTGGACTATTGGTTCTTGTGATCTTCCATGCAGAAATTCAAGTGCTGGTAAACGTGTTATATCGTACACATGACTCCTGAATACTAGAAGTACCTTAATGTAACACCTCATTCGTTTCATAGACTAGTAGAATTTTTGCTACATTCTGTGTGTTATTGTATTTTTAAACGTATAAATCCATGAAATAAATTCCAACTAACGCATCATTACGCAGTCACAAACACGTACAGGTTTTAACGGAACAAAACATGTAGTGATTAAGCTGGTAAGTAAGAAAAGTAATTTTATCAAACGTACCTCCGACACACGTGTTTTAAAATTTCTGCACATTTGGGTCAAGATATATTGCGCTCGTCGTGTCACATTGACTATGTGCTCAGTAACAGTATCTGTCTATGTATTGTACTTATTTTAGCTGATTGCTCATAAATCACGAAAAAGGATATGATTATTGTGCAAATCATCACTTGAAAGTTTAATAACTTGAATTCAAAAACATTTTCTAGAAATATGATTGTCTCTGATTAAGAAAACTTTTGAAACTTCACGCAGTGAACAGTTTTCGCATGTCATACAATACATTTTATTTTTCTTATATTATTAAAAATGATATGCTTTAAAACATTCATGGTGAAGTCCAGAAATGAACATGCATCAATATGCTAACGCTGTATGTATCACAGATGATAAAAAAGTTACATCTCAATTAATTACGGGAAAAGTGAACAACTTCTTTTACTAAAGAGTTAAATTTTGCAATTCTTCGCATGGAAAACAGTTATTTGCTCAATGTTCACCCTCAGTATAATTGAATTGAGTTGATAATTGAATTGAGTATAATTGTCTGATAATTGAAATCTCACATTATGGGTTACTTTTGTTTTTAACTCGCGATGAAATTTATTCAACGTCCTGAGTGGGAGGAAGAATTCATTTTCAATAGAAAACTAGCCTAAAGATGGATCTTTATAGTCCGATAACTTACTAAAATTGAATGACCGCATATAAACGACCGCATTCACCTTTTCATGAAATGTTCGCATTATCACTCACTGTGCCTCACAGTACCCGAGAGCATGGATATGAAAATTGTAAAAAATACGGATACAAGACTTTTCTTTAAGCTTAAAGGGCTATCTTGTGTTGCATTATTAAATAATTATTTAATTTTTACTATTGTCTAGGCTCAAATATTACTAGGGAAGCTATAAAAGTTTTATTTCTTTTTTTATTTTAATTTTTTAATAGATACAACGAAAAAATATAAGTTTATATTAAATTTTCCCATTTTTGTTTATATATTTCCATTTGTTGGATAATTGTTGTTAATTGTTGATCTGTTGTATTGTTGTTGTTCAAATACACAGTTAATTCATTCATTGTCTCAATTAATTCATCATAAGACGAATGAATTGTACCCGTCAATTGTGTTTCACATGAACATTTTCGTAATAAAACGTTCAATCGTTCATGATTATTTATGGGTAATGTTAATCGAGAACGTTCAACACCTATTAACAGAGACAACATAATATAATAGCAAAAAACTTGATAAATCTCAGATAGTTACCTTCTGTATACGATCTTAATGCCGCTTGTAACATAATGCATTTTCCACCTGGTCTTGCAATTGAGGATTGATAATATAAATAATCTCCTCGTCTTCTTAATGTTTCAATAATATCTTGATCTTTATTCAATGGTGATGCTAAGAAATAATTGTCAATTATTTTTACTATAGTTAAACATAAAGAATCAATTTCATTTTCAATTGTTTCAACAAATTTTAATAGACTTATGCTTAAATTATTCCCGTGTAATGATGTTAATTTTGAATAGGAGTGAAAACATTCATTAATTATTCGATGATTGAAGGCATTATATAACAAGAGACGATTACAAGGTGAAATATCACTATTTGGATTAGACGCTAAATAACTTTGATACAAACTAATTGTATCCGAATAACGTTTTGCTTGAGTAGATAATAATGCCAATTCATACATTTTTGATTGATCGCTTTCACCAGTCATTTTTGTTCGGAGAAAGATTTCGGAAAAAGATCTGCAATACAATCAACAATTTGTGGATAAAAAAAAAGAGAGAAAATACAATGAATAGAAAATTTGTGAACTCGTATGATCAATCTTAACTACGTCGTTCTTGAAGTGTAGAAAATGATTAAAAAAAAGTTTATATTTTTCAGAATACTTTTTCTCTATCTCTTTATTTTCGAATTTTGTGGTTTATGTGTGTGATAAAATCACACTTTCTTGAAAAAAGACCTGTTTGCTTATCTATTCATATGCACAATAGCGAAAAAAATTGGTGGTCTCTTTTGACACAAGATGTCCTACGAGAAAAAATGTTTTTATTTACTATTGCATTGTGTTGAAAAAAGGCATACAAACTAATAAAAGTGTGCTGGATTTAACGTGAGCCGGTCATCCCATCAGTGAAAAGCAGATTCAAAATTACTTACTTTGCTGTCAAATAGATTGACCTGAATGAATCACGTGTTTTTATTTCTTCGCTATCGTTTCTCTTTCTGAACATACAATATATTCTCTGACGGTGACTGTTGCGAAAAAAAGAACTTTAGAATGTTATTGTTTCACACGTGTCTCTTTCTTAATATACTTTTTATCTTTTTGAAAATTTTTGATATATATAGAACTGTCACGGTCTGATTTTAAGAGAACTATCACACTCATCTTCATTAGGCGATATAGAAAGAAAATGAATGTAACATATTGCTATATAAATAAAAATTACTCGTTGCCTCCCCTTTCTTTTGTTTCTTTATTTATCAGAGAACAAATTTTATTTTACTTCATTTATACACGACTTTACAACAGAGCATTACAAATTGGAATATTTTTTATTTTTCTTTACTTCAACACATATTTCCTCTGATACAGAAACGTACCGCTCAATATTTAAAAGTTAAAAATCTAATAATAATTGCACAAAAATTTTCTCAATATGTTCAATGTTGACTGTTTGTGAACCATCATTTTTTGCTTGTGTTATTGAACGTTCAATTGTTTCTGTTATGAATAAGAATAGTAATTCAGTAAATAATTTCACCGTATCTGTTGCTAGACGAGATGATTTATCATCCGGTAGAAAATGTTTTAATAATTTACTGACAAGCTCCGTTTTTAAATATTCATTATTTTTATTACTAATTTGATCATCATTATCGTTGTCACCGTAGTTATTAACACTATTACTAGCCATAAAAACTAAATTGCAATCTGAAACAAAAACTCTTAATGCTTTATTCTGGTCAGTTGACTTCACTTTTTTTTTGAGAGGAAAGGAGGAATTGATAGAAACAGAATATTTTTGATCAATAAAGATCGCTTAGATTTCGAGAGAAATAATATCTAATTAGTGTGTGAATACAATGAATATAATGTAATTCTTAGATAAATATTCAGATCGATTTCATACGATCGTAAACAACAACTTACGACCAAATGCGATCGTATTCCATGCAGACATAATACATTATCGTATACAATCTTCGTAAAAAGCTATACACGATTGTAAACTTTTTTTACGATCGTAATAAGATGTATACGCTAATCGCTTTCATTGTATTGGGTATATAATTCGGATCGCGAGTCTTACTTTAAAGGACATTCCATATGTGACATGAGAAGAAAGCCCATAATGTTGAGTAAAATTTATATTCATATTAAGCACGCTATATGATGAATACTATTTTGTGTAAAGTAACTTTATTGATATAAAAAACAAAAACATATTATTTTTTACAAAAAAGATGAGATTAGGGTAGTTTTATCCAACCTATTAGTAGCATGCAGAAAAACCATACTAAAATGAAAAAGATGAGATTCAACTAGATAAATATATCAAGATGATCAAATATTTTCTTACTTATCGAGTAAGGATGATGGTTATTCTTTATTGATGAATTATTCGAATGATCAGATGACGTTAATGTTTTATTTTCTGAACATTCATCGTTTGTCTCATCATCATTATCAGTTATTTTAGATAATTCACGCTTAGCAGCATTGAATATCGGAAATGGGCCTTCATGACATATTTCACCTGTTTTATCATCCAAATCTAAACTCCAAATAATAACACCGCCAAACCCTTCTCTTTTCAAATATTTCATCTAAAATTAGATAAAAGAAATGTTTAAGACGAAAAAAGAAGACATAAAAAAACCCACTTCTAAACGTCAGTTTTTGACTTACTTTAACGGTAATACTTCTTATATTATCAAATCCGATCCATAAACTTGATTTTGAAATATAGGGTACGGACATTTGTTTATGCCAAAAAATACGTGCACTCGAATCTTTTTGCAGTATTTCACAAATCTATCGAGATAAATACACTAATAGCACATATAGTAGACAAGATTGGCTTCCTACTTCATAGTAGGCTAAAACACCAGCTTCTCTCGTATATTGACCAGCCTCAGCTGCACTCGCTTTGACACCAATTTTTCTCTTCGTTGGTTTTTCACCGTACAACGAAAATGCTCGACCATAGGCAGATAAGCCAATATTTAATTTTTCTCTTGGACAACCTTTGTCCATCCAGACGTACATTGAATTATTCTCAATAAAACAGACCAAGTTTGAATTTTATTTTTGTTAAAAAATAATTTTAATCAGAACATACCACATTCCATTCACGAAATTTTTTTGGCTCTTTTTTCATACCATATAATGGTGAATTGTGACCAGTTTTACCATCCCAACCTATGTTAAATACAAGAATGAATTAATTTATAAAATCATATATTTTCTTTTTTAAAAATAAAAGTCAATAGTAATTACTTCCATGATAATCATATGTCATTACACTGATAAAATCAAAATATCTAAAGAAAATGTGAAATTTGGTCAATAGTCTATACTGAATTACAGTAACATATTCTTACTCGCAAATTTCCTTTACTTCATAACCAGCCTCGATTCGATGTCGAGCAGCAGCTGTAGCACATGTTAACAACAATTTTTCTTTGCCAGTTAGTGATGCTTCTTTTTCAAATGTCCTGCTTAACTTCTTAATTAGAGAAAACCAATACAATATAATGTCTCCTTAAAATTTGTTTAAACAAAAAACCATCATATCTTACTTTGACAAGTTTTGTATAACCTCGTTTCGTATGTGCTTCAGCTCCTTGATCTTTTGCACCAGGATATTCCTGGTAATATGCAAATATATAGAATTTTAGTATCAACTTTGAAACGAACTAAAACATTTTTACCCAATCCAAATCAAGTCCGTCAAAATTGTGTAAACGTAGAAATTTTATGCTATTCTTCACAAATGTTTTTCTAAAAAGTTCGAAAATATTGTTGAATTTGTTTACTCTAGACATTGTTCTCATAGTTAAAAATGCATCAAAAGTCCTACACCTCTTCAATAATCTCAATATTTTTAACTCTCGCCGTTTAATTCAACTCACGTAATTCGTACATGTTCTTTGCATTTAAAGAAACTTGATTGAAACCTCTACTGGCATGTGTCCAACCACCAACACTTAATAATATTCTTAAATTTGGATTTTTTTCTTTTAATTTAATAACACGTTCATACATGCCGGGTCCACCTAGAAATAACAATAAGTTCTAAAGTTTCTATTTCATCTAATTTTGTGAATAATATTGTTTCGTACCGGTCCATCCATGAGCATCGTCTTCTTCATAAGGTGCCAGTGCAAGACTCTCCAATACTTTGGCAAATGCAAAATTGATATGCGTACATAGAAACGGATCAATATCTTCCGGTGTTAATCGACTTATATTATCATGTCGTTTAGCAGCCCAATTAGCAAAATAGCATACACGTCGATAAACAAATGAATTTTCACTTGAATCGTTTCGACAATTTTGAGAACTAATACCTAATTCATGGCAAGAAAGTTGAAAATCAGTCATCAATTATGACTGAACTAAAAATTCCTACCTTTGATTGCAAATAGAATCAGAATTACAATGATCATCACATAATTTATGAAAATAAACAGTCATGTATAACAAAATTTGTACATTCGATATTACTGTTCGTTTGATTTGACAAGTAGTGATGTTTACAATCCATATTTAACAATATCTTATCTTCTAGACATGTTTGCAAATATTCTCGACAACAACGATCGCGATTATGTTTACAATTAAATGTCATAGAACGGGAAATGTGAGAGAGGGAGAGAGAAAGAAAGAAAGAAAATAAAAGACAAGAAAATATCGGTAGTTGACTATTCAATTATTTAAGTTTATCAAATCGGGATGGAAAATACTCAGCAAGGTATATATTGAAAAATAGAAAATAATTAGAGTAAAAAAATCGGCTAATGAACAAACTTTAGCTACAGTGGGAGAAAGAACGTTGAATTTCATTTATAACTCATTAAAACCGATAGACATATATTTGGGACACATGTTTTGTAAAATCAATACGCCCAGTTATGAGTATCGAACAATGGTAAATATGGTATTATGTTAATCAGCGAGAGTTGTTCTGAACGAATAAGTAGCTGTTTTACCGAATTAAAAAGCATTTTAACATAAAAAACAATTTTAAGACTAGGAAATAAGTACCTTTAGCACATATCATTGTGTGTGTTATACACTTTTCTGTTGTTTGTACCAGTTCTGCCTGGAGCTGTGGTTTAACTGGTAAATGGATGGATCACTACATTTGAAGATTGTAAACTGCAAGGAACAGCTGTTCGAAATCAAGAAGTCTTTCATCGTCCTGTAAACATTATACACTGATAACCGCAAAATGGAGTATTCTTCTTCTTCTTTCCAAATAAGCACACCGAGTTCAATTATTTTCTTTTCTTTTAAACATAAAAAACTTTTTGCACCATATTTTGAAGCGGATGGCAGTATGTTTGTTCGATAATTTTCGAATGTGTTCATAGTAGTCTGTAAAACTCATACACTAACATACCTACACTATAATCATCTAATACTAAGAATATCAAGATAAACCTTAAATTCATATCTCAATGAGTTACACCGGATAATGCTGTTGCCTCTTTCTCCAACGGTCTCTTCGGCCAATCATATACAGGTTTTTTACAAAGTTGTGATCTTAAAACTTGTTATAACACTAACCGTTTTCCAATAACAAGAACAAATATTTTTCCATTGTTCGAGCACGCTATAACCAGAAACTGAGCTAATTTATATTTATTTTAGATACATTTCTTGTATAAAACGAGTATTCAATATGCAAGTTGTTTCCACGAAATACATAATATTTCAAATAAAAAGTGGTAGTGAAATCACTACAACTATTTTTCTAATTAATTTTCTTTTAAAAAAAAAGCACAATAAACTTCTAAATTTAGAAACTATTTGGAAAAACTGTGCAAAGTGCTAACAAAATTACTTTTCTAACAACTGTACAGCGTATCGACATGTATTAAGATTCTATCACATGCACTCTTTCTTCTCCTATAGAGATTTGCTGCAAACCAATTTTCTACTGAATTCAATCTCCGAGAAAACAACGGAAACTCGGTCTTTTAGACTTAGTATGTTGAGTGAAAAGGTGCCATAGAACATTTTTTGCATTTAAATGGTCCATAATTTTGTTCCAAAATAGAGAGATACTTTTCAACGGCTACAAAAAGGGAATCTCTTTTTCTATACGGCTTGTCCACGTAACTCGAGACTTCGCTGATTAAGTTTTTGAAAAAATTATTTTAGACTAGAACTGAGAGGAGCATATCACTAGATACAGTTTTTGGCGCTGGTTACGAATTTCACATTAGTTTTTTAAAAAAGTTAAATTCTTGCAGTTTTACATTTTTTGAAAACTGTATTTTCAATTTCCTCACCTACACACTTTTCCTAATAAAAATAGAAGGCCATACCAATCGATAGAGAATTCGATTCTCTACAGGATGGTATGTTTCTTGTGAAGTTTAGACTCAAAACAAGCTTTTTAATAAAGTTTTAAGTTTTAAGATTCTCATACAATTCTAAGAAAGTGAAAACATTTTTTCAGCTTTATTTTCACGTTAGTCTATATTAGATGCCTAAAACTAAGTCTGATATGAAAATGAAATCCTTTGAGCAATGTTTAGTGCTCCAAACTTTGTTGGGAAAAACGAGTGTCACAGCGTCACGACAATAAAACACAATTATTGAAGGATCGAAAGCTCTTTGGAAAGATTCTTTTTTAGCAATCAGTAGCTCGTTCACTCCTCTACAAACTTTGCTCGAGACACTTTTTATTAGCTCTTCTAAATTCGCAGCAAGTTAGCTTTTAATGAGAAGCACTTCGAATTTAGGGCCTTTTTTTGTCATAGCGTCACGCGCCGAAAAACGGTTCTAAAAATTTGAGTCTTTAACCGCATACCTTCATTTTTATACCAAAAGTAGAGTATGGCGAGCTGCGTCGAATAGCGCAAGGACGAAGTTTCTAGCTCTTACACTTTTTGAGAAAAGCTCAAATTACTGTGTCAAAAATGTCACAGCGTCACGCTTGGACAAGCCGTATATCTCACAGTACAAAAGGGTCAAACAGAGAAAACTATGTTTCAAACTGGAAACTTGAATCTGATGCTTTTCCCATAAGTTTTAATTTTAAATTATATATGAAAAACATAATATGGATTTTTCTGTGTAGTTCATGGCACGATTTTTAGAGAAAAAAATTAAGGCTAAGTAATGAAACGTGAAAAACCTATGAAACAAAAAACGAGATAATAATAGAGTCTTAGTAATAAAAGTAATAATCTTTTAATATTTCATATAAATTAAGATTATTGATCGAATTCAATAAAAACTACGTCATAAAGGAATAAATATATGGATTTTTTCTTCGAAAAACAACATTGAATAAACAGAAAAACACAGAAAAATAAAATTCACGCAAATACAGTTCAAGGTACGTTTTATTAAGCTGGTAGATCTGACATAATTTGTTCTCTATCGATCTGTCATTCTTTATACTTTGTCGGAGAAACGAACACTGTGTTGTCTAATCTGATATACCAAATATGGAAACTAGAATTTTTGTTTGCATATGATAAAATCTTTAAAATACACCACCAACATTTACCAATTGCCACAATGCATTCGACGATAACATCGGATATAGAATGTCTTTCTAGTAGAATTCGAGATGCAATAACGGATTTGATCCACATATGTAGAACGGGTTTTGACAATTCGAAGAATGTCACATTTAGAAAGTAAAATGAGAGGAAGACAGCACAACTTATATAGCCAATGGGAAATGAATATTTATCAGGGCCAATACTTAACGGATCTAAAACAAAAATACACGAGCAGTTAGTTGTTGATATAATATAACCTCATTTTTATTTGCACAACTTGAAGTAAAGACAACTATCCAAATAAGCAATGTATGTAGATACGTCAGTTTTCCTGACGGACTTACCATTGTAGTTATATCTTGACCGTCTTCACCATACAAGCTCTTTCATAGTATCAACAACAACCACATCAAACATAAGCTCCAACGTCTACATTTTATCTTCATACCAAGATGTGTCAATAAATCTCCGTTATATGCATTCAAAACTTTGACGTTCAAGATAATTGTGGTTCTTGAAAGCCAATCATCAACATACTTTTCACCGTAACTGTACAATGATCTCATACCAATTCTTTGTTCGAGGATATCACGATCAGTAAATATTGGGCCACTTTCATCTCGATTTGTTTATATGTGTCAACTTAACATTGCTATAAAAAAATGAATCTGGTATCCATGTTAAGCTTTGTTGCAATGTAGAAAATCGTGTACCGCCAACATTTAAATGAATAATTTGATCTGACTGATGAGGCATTTTTTTTGTAAAAAAAAGGGAAAAATTTATATAAACATTTTAGTCCTAGAAAGAACAGAGACTTGACATCTTGAACGCAAATAGAAGCAGAGAATAGAATAAACCAGAGGTATCATACGATCTCAATTGTTTCTTAAATTAAAGTACTATAATTATAAATCGTTAGTATGTTGAACAAATCATTTATGGCTGTAAGAAAGAAAGTCTATTTAAATGAAAAGTATACCTTATCACAAATAGTTTTATTATTATTTAAACGCATATTGAACAGTTCTATCAACAAACGAACAAATATAAAAGCTTCTAATTTCTTTTCGCCTAATTGATCAATGCAGATGCTTGCTGTTCTATTATATGGGTAACCATTAACATACTGGATGCTAATCACACTAAACATTTCAAAACGAAGTAACGATAAACGTAAGTTACATGATAAATACTTGAGAAATAGAAGGAAACTAACCAAAATATTCAGCATTATCACAATGGTTATCGTCAAAATAAATTACACAGTACTCGCAAACACTTTCAATCAAATCTCGTGTTGATACGCAACATTGCTCTTACTTCAAGATGATCATAGCTTAGACTACAAGTAATTTCCGACAATTATAGTTGAATTTGTCCCGCCAAACCCAAATGAATTTTTCAGGGCAATACGTCGTTCACTTGTCCATGAATCCGAAATTTTACTTGAAATATTTAGTTTATCATTTTCATCGTCAGCTTGATTATAATTCAGTGTTGGAGGACATCGCTTGTTTAAACAAGCCAAGATTGTAAAAATTGTTTCCACCGAACCAGCACCACCTAACAAGTGACCTGTTGAGCCTTTTGTGCTTGACACATAAACATCTGGATTCAACTCATGAAAGATTTCACTGATTGCTTGACGTTCAATTCGATCACCAATTGGTGTACTAGAATAAAGAAAAAAGTGTAGTACGAGAAGACGATCACTGGATACTCACGATGTCGCGTGCGCATTGATATATCCAATATCTTCTGGTTTTAGTTGTGCCATGTTCAAAGCCTGCTTCATCGACTGAACAGCTCCTTGTCCACTTGGTTGAGTGATGTGACTTCCATCTGAACTCAAACCATAGCCGAGTATTTCACCAACAATCTCCGCATTTCGTCTCTGCGCATGTTCCAAACGTTCGAGCACAACTATTCCACATCCCTCACCCAAAACGAACCCGTCACGTAACCGATCAAATGGTCTCGATGCTCTCACTGGATCATCATTGAACTTTGTAGTCAATGCTCTCATCTTCGAAAAGCCTGACATTGTCATCGGATTTATTGTCGCTTCTGTAGAGCCACACACCATCACATCAGCGTGATTCAGTCGAATCATATTGTATCCATCACCAATGGCTTGCACACCCGCTGCACATGCTGTTGAATTGCACAAGTTTGGACCAGTAAACTTATGTCGAATCGACACTTGACCACTCGACATATTTGGCAGTATTCGTGTGATATAATGAGGTGACATGGCTCGATAGATGCCCTTCAATTTTGTTTGATCATACATTTCACATGTTTCAGTTAATCCAGACATACCATTTCCAATCGACACACCG